AGTCCAAAGTATCAAACAAAAATCATGACTGAAGCTGAAACATAACCGTGACCGAAACATGACTGAAACAAACCTGACAGCAGCAAACAAGCAAACAATGACCCGACAATGAGCGGTCGGGCGGGTGTCCTTTTATACTACTAATTACATAAGGACCAACAGGTGCAACTGAAGGGGGAGCCCTACAGTGCCACCTGTTGGTCACAAACAGAATCATGACACGACGCTGCCAAAACTGTTACGGAGTTGCTTAAATCATCACCTGGATGAAAAGATGATGGATTTGGATAGGTGGTCTACGAAAGAGAACACATTTTCAATCCACAGCATGAAATTGATTGCCGAATAGCATTCTTTATCAGTAGTGGATTACGAGAAATTGTAACATATGGGGTAACCCATGTGTTACGTAAATCGTAGAAACTGTAACACAAGGGTTACGTGAGTTTTTGGAGTTTATTTCTCCTACGTACTCACTCCGGTTTGTGTTTTTGTAAAATACATTTTGGTCAATCCACCCTGCTCCTCCCTGCCTCCCTGCTTTTTGGGGTCCTCCCAACAACTACCACCTTGCATTACCATGACAGAATGACCCGACCATGAGTGGTCGGGCGGGAGTCCTTTTATACTAATCACATAACGACCAACAAGTGTGCAGCTGCAGGGGGAGCCCTACAGTGCCACCTGTTGGTCACAAACAGAATCATGACAGTAGCGGGGTCCAGGTCGTCGGGTCATTCTGTCATGATGCGAGGTGGTGGTGGACCTAAAAAAGCAGGCAAGAGGAAGGAGCTAAATCCAAAACAAACAAAGTCCAAAGTATCAAACAAAAATCATGACTGAAGCTGAAACATAACAGAGACCGAAACATGACTGAAACAAACCTGACAGCAGCAAACAAGCAAACAATAACCCGACAATGAGCGGTCGGGCGGGTGTCCTTTTATACTACTAATTACATAAAGACCAACAGGTGTGCAGCTGAAGGGGGAGCCCAACAGTGCCACCTGTTGGTCACAAACAGAATCATGACTCGACGCTGCCAAAACTGTTACGGAGTTGCTTAAATCATTCACCTGGATGAAAAGATGATGGATTTGGAGAGGTGGACTACGAAAGAGAACACATTTGAATCCATCGGATGAAATTGATTGCCGAATAGCATTCTCTATCAGTAGTGGATTACATGGAGCATTTTTTACGGGTGGGCTCCAGAACTAAAGACTCCTTCGAAGAAGAAGCCACAATCCGGAGCACCACCAAGGTCAGTTGTTTGGCCAGATTGTAAAACTATAGGATGAAAGAGGAGATACTAATACTGGCCTAGGCCAAAAGCAGATGTCAACTACATGGGAAAAGTGTTCATCTGGACCATGATTATGCGCCTTAGTGTTGGGAAAAAAACATCAAACGAGAAAGGCCAAACAAAGTTGGTGCTGAAGGAGAAGTACAGACGCTCCCCAGCTTACGAACGAGATACATTCCGAACGATCGTTCGTCAGGTGAATACGTTTGTAAGTTGCTTCTGTGCTATATTTTGTATGGAATGTATGTTTAAGGCTTATATAAGTATGTTTACTTGCTAATGATCGTCCATTGCATCGGCACTGCACCTTTCACGTGTTCCATTATGCGATCTTTCTGTTTATAAATGGTACCGATGGTCGAACGATTCATGTTGTACGCACGTGCACCGCTCACCATTTTCTCACCCGCATCAAGCTTCTTTATGATTGCTACTTTCATTTGAAATGAAATGGCTTGCCTCTTCTTTACACTTCCACTCTCACTAGAAGCCTTTTGCTTTTCAGCAACCATATTGAATAATGGATGCACGAGATATTTCACAACTGGGCAGAGGAAGCCGGATTCGGGGTGGATGCTGGGCGAGCTCTCACAGCGCCTCATGTCGGTCTTAGCGGCGGAAAGAAGCACTACACCTGTACTGTACTCGGAAAAAGGCGCGCAATACAAAATCTAACTTTTTCTTTTCTTTTTCGACATACCCGTAAAAATGTTCGTATGTACCCTTGTTCGTAACTTGGATGTTCGTAAGTCGGGGAGCGTCTTTATATCAGAATTCAGACTCTCCTTCTCAGCCCGTCTGAGAGTTTATTGTTCAACCAGGCCTGTGCTGTATGGAAAAGCAGAGGAGGCGACTGGGGACGTGGCCAAGATGGTGTTCCCAATGTCAGCTATTAAGTACCAGGAGTCTCTTTTGGAGCAGATAGAGTTGTTCAGGTGGGGTATGCGAGGGAGACTGAGAAACCGGGAGAGAACGGGCAAAGTTGGGAGCTACAAAAAGAAGCTACAGGCCTACAAGCTCCCAGATCCAAAGTGACTGTAAGAGATTTGGCAATGATGGTTTGGAGGAAAATGTGTTGAGTTGATGTCAAAGAGGAGAGAGCAGAAAGCATCCAGCACAAACAAGATTGCGCATTTTTTTAGGCTATAATGAAGGATACAGTCTCTTCTGAAGCGATTGGAATGGCAACGTGAATTCCTTTGTTTTTGTTGCACACTGAGAACATTTGGGTTTCAGATGAAAAGATGAATATGAGACAGAAGTTCAGAATTCCATCCATTTTCCAATCCGCTTTATTCTCACAAGGGTTGGAGGTGTCGGAGCCTATCCCAGCTGTCTTCGGGTAATAGGCGACGTACACCCTCAACTGGTTGCCAGCCAATCACAGGGCACACATCGACGAACAACCATCCACACTCACAATCACACTGTGGGACAATTTAGAGTGTCCATTAACCTGCCATGCATGTTTTTGGAATGTGGGAGGAAACCGTAGTACCCGGAAAAAACCCACACAGGCACGGGGAGAACATGAAAACCCCACACAGGAAGGTCAGAGCTGGAATCGACCACTGCAACCACTGCTAAACAGTCGGCTACTGGGCCCCCCGTTTCACTTCATCAAACCAATTTTAATATCACATAGAGACTACCCAACGCAATACAAAATGCAGTTTCTAAATGCCAGTCACATGTAATAAGGCATAAAAAACCCTACCTATGTCCCTATGTGAAAATGGAATTGAATGGTTTGTCTTGTTGAGATATTTAATATTGGTACCAGACTTTAAATTATAAATTGAAAGCATCATACCAGTAATGCCAAGCCGATCAAAAAAATCAAATGATCTAACGATTATCGGCCGTGTCGACAAATGCCACAGATCAAAGTCATAAATGTTTCCAAAAAAAAGGAAGGAAATGTATCTTCAGATATTGTTCATTTGAAACTACCTCTGGAAGATCAATCTCCAATAACCTAATAAGAGTATTACAACAGGTGGAAATAGATTTATTCATCATGAAAGTAACTGCAAAAACTGTAAAACTCCTCACTCCATCGAGCGAGAAAATGCATCATGCGTCATTCTTGCATTCATACAGACTAAAAGTTTATCTTATGTATTTTTTTAAATCTCGCATTAGAGACACTGTTTCAGCACACCGGCCCGCTTCTTTACACCCACTCATCAGTGAGAGGAAGACATTTATTATGCAAAGAATTGTATGATGAATTTGCTTTGTCATGATTGTATATGTAATTTTTCTTAAATCTACTTCACCAAAATGTCTTTAAAATTGAAACATGAAAACCAACATCATTGGTGTTGAACTATATTTGCGTCTGGTAACTTCATCCAACAGGCAGGGTAATACACCCATGATTTTCCATGTGGTGAGTCATGTCTTTTATGCTTGATGGTTTAGTTTTTAAAATTATTTTCTCATTCTTGAATTACCGTATTTTCCGGACAAAAAGTCACTCCTGAGTATCAGTCACACTAGCCATAAAATGCATAATAAAGAAGAAGGGAAAAAAAACATACACATAAGTCACACTGGAGTATAAGTCACGTTTTTAGGGGGGAAATTTATTTGATACAATCCAACACCAAGATCATACATGTCACCTTGAAAGGCAAAGAAAAAGAAAAATAGAGAACAACAGACTGAATAAGTGCATGATATGCTAATGTTACGTGACTCATAAACAACGACCGGAGAACGTGCCTGGTATGTTCACGAAACATATCAATAGTTATTCAGATAACTACAGCAAAAAGAACATGCTAAAATTTTATCAAACCATTAGTGTCACTCCAAATCACTAAATCCCAAGAAAATCTTCATGCTCTGTATCACTTTTAAAGAACTGCGCGAACTCCGGAGGTAGAAGATGTGGCGCTTCCTCTTCTACGTCGCTTACGTTGGAGTCCTCATCAGTTGAAGTTCCAATTATTCCAGCCTTTCTGAATCCTGACAGGATATTCCAAACTTTATTTCTCCTTCAGCTTGCATATGTCACTACTTGCAGCTTGTAATTTGCAGAATATGATTTTCTTTACGGTGCCATTTTTCTTCAGCCCTTCTCAGTTGTTTTTATTCAGTACCGGTTGTATTTTAAGTGACCGCCAGTGTTAAAATCATCAGCACAGGCATACAATCCCCTCTTTGCGGTTTAATGTGAAAACAACATGTGAAATGGCACAATAATGTGTTCATAATTTCACACGAGTCGCACCCCTGCCTGAACTATGAAAAAACTGCGACTTGTAGTCCGGAAAATACGGTATCTTATTTTTATACATACTTGGGTCAAGTACAGACATGTCTTTTTATTTTATTGAAGTTTTATTATTTTTTTTCCCTTGTTCTTGAAGTATATTTTGATTTTCTACAGATACCTGTGGTAAGTACAGGCAGATAGGTGGCGGCATAGAAAGCAACAAAAGCAATGTCATGTCATATATACAATAAATCTTTATTTATATAGTGCTTTCACGAAAGCTGCAGCTGTAACAAAGCGCTTTACAGAACATTTAACCCAAAATAATCCTAATACAACAGAACACATAACATAAAACATGTTTACCTGTGTAAACCCCTCAATTCCAGTAAAGACCTGGTGCTCTGCAGTTACTTCCACATATTTGAGTCTAAAGCTGTGCGTTTGCCCTTATAACTCAAATATCGTCCATGTCCCTTTGTCTTTATTGGAGCAAGCATGTTGTATTATTTGTCTGGCAGGGGGGCAGCAAGAACTTCTCTGGGACTCTTCAGTCCAACTTCCAACGTGTGCTGCTATATGAGAACCCAGAGCTTCAGCAGAAAGCCAGAAGCTGTATTCCTTACAAGCAGCTTTTGTATGCAGCTAAGCAAAAGCTGAAGTTAGCTCAAGAGGCTGAGACAGGTTTGTGTCACATTCAAACCGCAACGCAACTCAAACTACATACAGTATCATGTACATCTGTGAAATGCTGAGAAGTGATGGACCTGTTTTGGCATCTGTGTAGAATGTAAACTAGGAGAAGAGGACTTCCTTGTGCTGGAGTTGCTTAGGTGGTTCAAACATGACTTCTTCTCCTGGGTTGACTGTTTGCCCTGTAACAGCTGTGGAGGCCCAACCCAGAACAGCGGCTCACTCAGTCCTACTATTGATGATCTTCGCTGGGGAGCCCAGCGAGTGGAGAACCACTACTGCCAAAGCTGCCAGTTATGCACCAGATTCCCTCGGTTTGTTCTGCTATTTTATACGAGAGTACCATATTTTCCGCATTATAAGGCGCACCGAAAAGTCTTCCATTTTCTTAAAAGCTCACGGCGCGCCTTAAAATCCGGTGCGCCTCGTATATGGTCATTACGGTAATATGTCGACCCCAAGATGGCTACTTGCTGGAGACATGCTTCCAATGTTATAACTTGCTATTGGTTCAGTGAACTGTGTTGCTGCTTTATTAAATATGTTTTTGTTGCAGCTCAGAAAAAAAAGGAGAGCTGTGGTGTTGTTTTTAAAAACGCACACTTTATCAATGATTTTCACAGTCTCAACAAATACACGTACGTCTTTGTCCGTCTCCGTGCCTTCTCTTCTTGCGTTCAACTCAAGAAGCGTTCATGACCGCCTTGGCAGCTTCTCAAAACCAGGAGGGGACGCTGTGGGGAGTGGGCCAACTGTTTTACACTGTGTTGCAGAGCTCTCTGCCTTGAAGCCCGGTACATCTGGGACAGCACAGGTATGTTCATGAGACACATTTGTCACCATCCCAACAATACAGTTAACTGACTATATATGCAATAGAGGGTGACACGGGAGTGGATTTTCACTCCCGTTTCCTCCAATTTACTGACATCTGATCGTTCTGTTGCAACTATGCTCAAGAAAATGCCAAAATAAATTCTGTCGGGGGCCTATAGAATTCATTTTGTGATTTTCTGTTTTGATGCATTACTGTATTTTCAATTTTCGTAGTTTCATTGAAGTAATCGTTAATTTACGTTTTTTGGGAGGCGGTCATGAACGCCTCTCCAGTCTAAAAGAGAAGGCACGGAGACGGACAAAGACGTACCTGTTGCTCCATCTAAGGGATGCATTGCAAATTGCGCCTTATAGTCCAGTGCGTGCAATGTATGAAAAAAAAAAAATAAAAATAGCCCATTCATTGAAGGTGCGCCTCATAATCCAGTACGCCTTTTAGTGTGGAAAATACAGTACATGTTTTTTGGTGATGTCCACCTTTCATTAATTTTCTCTTTCTATAACACAAGATACAACAATCCCGAGCAGCTTCTCAAAACCAGGAGAGGACGCTGTGGGGAGTGGGCCAACTGTTTTACACTGTGTTGCAGAGCTCTCTGCCTTGAAGCCCGGTACATCTGGGACAGCACAGGTATGTTCATGAGACACATTTGTCACCATCCCAACAATACAGTTAGCTGACTATATATGCAATAGAGGGTGACATGGGAGTGGATTTTCACTCCGTTTCATCCCATTCCCATAGGTAAAAAAAAAAAATCCCTTTCCGTCTAAGTCCTGAACCATTGTACTCCAGTCTAAAAGAGAAGGCACGGAGACGGACAAAGACGTACCTGTAGCTCCATTTGGTGGATGCATTGTAAATTGCGCCTTATAGTCCAGTGTGTGCAATGTATGAAAAAAGAAATTAAAAATAGCCCATTCATTGAAGGTGCGCCTCATAATCCAGTACGCCATTTAGTGTGGAAAATACAGTGCATGTTTTTTGGTGATGTCCACCTTTCATTAATTTTCTCTTTCTATAACACAAGATACAACAATCCCGAGCAGCTTCTCAAAACCAGGAGGGGACGCTGTGGGGAGTGGGCCAACTGTTTTACACTGTGTTGCAGAGCTCTCTGCCTTGAAGCCCGGTACATCTGGGACAGCACAGGTATGTTCATGAGACACATTTGTCACCATCCCAACAATACAGTTAGCTGACTATATATGCAATAGAGGGTGACATGGGAGTGGATTTTCACTCCGTTTCATCCCATTCCCATAGGTAAAAAAAAAAAATCCCTTTCCGTCTAAGTCCTGAACCATTGTAAAAAAGAATACCATCCTGTCCTGATGAAAATGACTCCCATACTGTCCTGCATCCGTTCAGCATGACTCCCGCTCGCATCCTGCTCCCATTTTGGAGGTCATCGACTTGAAAAATAAATGAACAGAATGATTATTTCCTCATGATTAAAATCCTCTTAGTTGGCATACCGTAGTTTCCTATGATGTACACCTGACAAAACAGGTCAATTATTGTAAATAACTTTAAAAGAAGACAAACAAAGGAAACAGTACCACAGCAAAATCTTAAAACATCCGTACAAAGCAGTGAAATCATAGATGAGAGCTAATCGGGACCTGGAGTAAGCCTGTAGGTGGTTCGAGCCTCGTGGAGCCAACATCTTGCATGGGTTGAGTATTCCCACAGTTCCCTCACCTCCTCGTCCACGGGCATGTCTCCGTTTATGGTCACCCATGTCAATCCCCACTATTGACTTTCCAAAAGCAGCAGGTCGCTGTTGCAGCAGGTCGCTGTTCCCCCTCTCCGTTCCCACCTCTGCAGATGCTGTGCTGCCTTGAAACATACAGTGAAACTCCTCTACAACGAAACCTACATTAGAGCTAAGATTGGTCCTAAAAAATCGAGCCCGACCCGAACCGGCCCGAGGGTATTTAAGCCCGACCTGGCCTGAGCCCAATCACTTAACTTGATTTGCAGGCCCCAGCCTGAAGCAAACCCGACATTTCATATTTTATTTGTGAGGAATCGGGAGGAGGAGGGGTGATTTCTGAAAACAAAGCATGTCTTTTGCAACGAAATCTTAAAGTTAAACAAGACTGTATAAACATTTACATCTTTTATATTTCTGTTCCTGAAGCGGTTACATTAGCGGACAATTTTGCATCATTGACGGATTTCTTTTAAGAGTGGATGGGGAAAATTTAAGGCCGTCCGTCATTTTGACAGGTTGAAAATTGGGCCGCAGCAGTACATCCTTAAGAATCTAGCGCAGCACTTTAAGAGAGAGTAGCAGAGAGACAAAGACGAACAATGACGGGTGGATACTCGACAGAGACTTGAAGGAGTTCTTTGAAATGTCATTGCAAGACTTTAGTATAGTACGTGTTGTGATGAGGCGACTTATGTTTTATTTTTTTTTTTTGCGAACCACGGTCTCTCGTGGCCAAAACTATTCACGGCCTTGGAAAAAAAAAAAAAAGTCAGTGAGAGAAAAGCCCGACCCGACCCGAACCCGAAGCAATGATTGACATTTTAAGGCCCGACCCGACCCGAATTTCGGGTCGGGCTCGGGCGGCCCGATCTTACCTCTAATTTGAAGTAGGTCCTAAAAACAAACTTAAGCGCTCCAGTTAGCGTAAGGTTTTTAGTCTTCGAGAGCTAACTATGGCCATCGAGGACTACGAAGCGCCCCGTGGCTGGCTTAAAAGTTCATTGCATGCCAGGAAGTATTTGTTATTGTTAGATTCAGACGAGGATGGACGTTGCATTGCTAAAATGGCTACAAAACGGACCTTTTGATGTCAAGCAGCTAAGACAAGAAGAGCTCTGATGCTGGAAGAGAGGGTAAAAGTGATCAAAATGAAAGACGGAGCAAGCAAAATAAAATACATTTTCCAAGAAATTGATGTAAGTGAAAGTGAATGCTGATTGTAAATTTCGCTATTTCTTTCCCTTTTTTTCTTTCTACACTGACTATATGAAGTGTCAAATAAGTGTATGCTCATACTTATGCACTATTGGAATAAAAATAAAGAGTACACATACGTTTGTGTGTGCGTGTACACACGTTTGTGTGTGTGTGTGTGTGTGTGTGTGTGTGTGTGTGTGCGCGCGTGTGTGTGTGTTTACATCTGAGATCAAATTTGCTACAGTGAAAAACCCCCTGTTGTGAAAAATTTCTTGCTGCAAACATTATTTCGTTGTAGAGGAGTTTCACTGTACTAGAATCACCCTGTCCTGCACAGCCCATTGCAATCGTCAGCTGGACAATTTGGTTTGGCTGTCCACCCGCATCTTCCCCTCTGGAGTGACCCCCAATAGATATGGATATATCACGGGCCTTCCATCTAAAGCTCTGAGCCTCCCTCCAGATCCATGCCCCTTTTCATGTCTCTACTGAAGCCAGTATCTTCAAGTCCACTCAGCCCTCCTTCCGGACACCCTCCTCCACCCTTGGATGTATGTCGCTGTGGTCAGGGTTTTCAATATTTAGTTGACTGGGAGGGTGACAGCCCCTTGGAACATTCCTGGGCGTCTAGGTCCCTCATTCTTGACCCTTTCCTTCTCTGGGTCCAGGTGGTGTCCCCTGTGGTGGGTGGAGTGATTGTGAGGATACTGTTTTGACTGTGCTTTGGTCCTTTATTTTGTCAGGGGGTTGGGTGTGGCCTGGACAGGGTGAAATTCGCCACTTTGTGAACAACTGTGTGAGCAAATAGTCCAATAGTTTAAGAACAATGTTTCTTAACATACAATTGCAAGCACTTTAGGGATTTGATCATCTCTACTCCATAATATGATCAAAACATTCAGAGAATCTGGAGAAATCACTGCATGTTAGCGGCAAGGCCAAAAACCAACATCGAATACCGGTGAATCCGTCAGGTGGCATTACATTAAAAACTGGCATGATATTGCCAGGTGGGCTCAATTTGCACATCTGTGAAGGCACAGTTACTGTAATTTCCGAAATATAAGGTGCGACTTTTGTCACACGCTTTCAACGCTGTGGCATATTTAATGAAGTGGCCTATACAGTAAAAATTCTCTAGTACGGACTCGTGTTTGCGCTGTCCAATTTGTCCTGATAACAGAAATTCCTCATTTGGGAAATGAGCATGGTACATGTCCTTTATGAACCTGCAAGTATGTTGACAAAAATGCACGTGTAACAACACAATCAATAAAATACAAAAATATACTGTCCAAAAACTTTATATAACAAAAACTGCAATACAGGTGTATCC